GGAGTACTGAGGTCGAAGTACGGAGAGAGGGGTTGGGGGTTGGTGGCATGGGAGAGGATTGTTTTTTTTTTGGGGGGGGGGCGGGTTAGGATGTCAGGTAAAGCTTGAAGGGGGTGTGTGTGGTCGACTCGGGATGGAGGAATCAGGATAGATAAGTAGGCAGGAAGGTAGTTTGAAGATGAGCGATGGTGGATTTCTCACTTAGTGTTACTGGTTGACGCCTGGAGTATGACGCTGCCATCGGATGTCGTAGGAAGAATGTGTTCCTCGCATCAGTCTTGGTGTCTTCGCAGAAGCCATCTCGGAGTGTAACTTCTTCTCCAGTGAGGCGGTCTGCAGATTGGGACTTACTTCTGTCTCACAGTGAGGTGGCTTGTCGATCTACGGCTGGGGGGCTGTTGCAGTTCGTCTCTGTGATGAAGCTGCTGCCTCCAGCTATGGCCTTCGACCGGCTGCAATCTTGATTACCAGTCGCAGTTTCGGCGAGGGTCGCTGTGTCCAGCTGACCTCTTGGTGCTTACACGTGCGCACAGGTGGCACGCTCAGATGTGGCTTCTTCAGGGTGGCGGCGGGTATTGGATGGCTTCAGCCCATCGGGCCTAGGCCGGGGGCTGGCGCTCCTTAGCGCAGCACTGGATTTCATGCTAACCGATGGCGCGGGCGGGATTTCTTTTTATCATTCCAATTTTAATGTCCATAAGGATTTCTCAGGAGGTCTCTGTTTGTCGGAGCACATACTCACATGAGGGCTGCACAACAGCCCGAAACTTGGTATGCACTGCTGCATCCAAAACAATCGAAACGGCGATAAATAAATATAATCCAAGGGCCCAGAGAGAGGCTGCCAAAGTTTAGGAGTGGCCTGAGGAGCTGTGCAGTAGGGTTTGTGTTAGCAGTGCTTCCCAGTTCTCCTCTGCTGTAGAGCTTGAACCTTTCTGTCTGTGTTAACAGTGCATCCCAGTTCTCCTCTGCTGTAGAGCTTGAACGTTTCACACTGCAAACTCTAAGTCTGTAGCAAGGGTCTAGGGTTTAGGGTTTGGGAGAAGGGGCAGGAATCAGAAGGCACAGCACCAGGATAAGAACTGTGGATCTGGCACCTTGTAGCAGGGTGAAGAGGTCCTGACGATATCTTGATACTCAATCCTCACGTACAACTGTTCAAATGCACAAATGTCCAATGGGACGCTGGACCCGATTTCCTGCAGGTGAAGCTTCCCACCAATAAATGGAGCAGCTGGCAGCAGACTTACAAGGAGAAGGTGCCCTTATCACCCCCCTAGTAGGCCTCCGCCAGCTCTCTCTCTCTCTCTCTCTCTCTCTCTCTCTCTCTCTCTCTCTCTCTCTCTCTCTCTCTCACACACACACACACACACACACACACACANTCTCTCTCTCTCTCTCTCACACACACACACACACACACACACACACACACACACACACACAGACACACAGAAAAAAAAAAAGGTGTGTTCCCATGCCCAACACTTCGGTGCCACATGTGCCTGTGTCAGATTGTTTACAATGGGGTTGAAGCGATACATAATTGGGAGAGGGACTGTGTACAAGGATCCAAAGCTCACATCCAACACACCATGTGCACATCCCAAAAAGGCTGCCTTTAACTATGCGCACATCGGGATACAGACCCTGTCAGCAAACCCTTTTCATCACCAATCCCTCCACAGATTTTTCTTATGAGAGCATTTTTATCACTACTTCCCTACTCATGAATTGCCTTATACCCAATGGCAATCACTTTGGCATGGATATCAGCAGCACTGTTACTCCCAAGCCATTGTCAGTAACACACATACAGCACCAAAGGATGATGACACACCTCTGCTGCTATTCTCATTCGGGCATACCACGGAAGTGGCTGCATGCAACCTTTCAGCAACAGACGATCTTCTAAGCTCCCATTTGCCATGTACTCGTAAACCAGGCAGCACTTCTCTGTGCAGGCACCCACAAGGGTCACGAGGTGAGGATGACGGAGAATACTCAGCATATCAATCTCTGTCTTGAATTGCTCACGGCCTTGGATGCTATCAACTGCCATGACTTTTATTGCCACTGGGGTGTAGTGCAGCTTCCCGAGATAAACAGACCCATAACCACCTTCTCCAAGCCTTGATTCTTCAGAAAAATCCTTTGTTGCATCCTGTTCAGGGCAAAGTCCAACCAGTAAACTGACCAACAGAATCAGCTGTTTGCAAGCAAATGAGATTTTTGTAATTTCCCAACTGGAATCAGTAAGCAGGCCAAAATCAAGTGTGTGTTAAGCAAAGGAAATTTCCCTGATGACCGAAATGAAGTGTGTTTCACCAACGAGGTTTCTCTTGAAATCAGTAAACTGCCAAAATCAAGTGTGTGGCAGCCATACTTTGCATCCGGGGACAAGAGCCTTCACATTGGTTGAAAAGAATCACGCCCACCACACTGCCTTCTCCTTTATTGACTACTTCCTGATCTCAGGGACACTAATGGGGACAGCTAAGAGCGCTGAGATCCTGCCCCTCGCACCGTACCCGGGTCTGGACCACAAACCCATCGAACTCATAATCAGCTTCGAACAGTATGTCAAAAAGGGGTCTAGCTTTCACAAACTCGACAACTCCCTCCTGCTGAGCCAAACTTTTCAGGTAGGAGTTCAGGAGTGTTGGCTACCTACACATACAGGACCAGTGGGAGTGGTTTCAAGAGAGCTACTCCACATTATCACAGACGGTTGCTAGAATCTCAAGGACAGGAAACAAAGGAAGCAAGCGTTGGAGACAGCCCTAAAGATCATGGAGACTAATCTAGTTAATAACCCCTCTTCTGCACTTTACACATTTTTGAAAAGGCAAGAGAAGAACTCACTATGTGGAGATGGTGGGAACTAAAGGGACTTCAAATAAGAGCCAGAATGAACGAATACGAGCTAAGCGAGTCAATGTCAAAACACTTCTTCACAAGAATAAAAGCAAACTCAAGGGCCAATGCGATAGAAAGCCTGAAAACCCTCTCAAATCCAACTGAAACAGTGGCAGACAGTGAAGGAATGTTTAACTTAGCAAAGGAATTCTATGAAGAGCTTTATCACACGAAGACCCCTATGCCTGCTCCGCCCAACACCAAAGAGGCATGAACAAGGATGCTACAATACCTAGAACAAACGGTATCTCAGGACGAAGCAGAAGCTCTGGAAAAGCGTACCATCATGAAAGAACTGCAATTTGTTGTCCAAAGTATGAACAACAACAAGTCGCCAAGAATCGACGGCCTGACAAAAGAATTATGGGAAAAATTTTGGTCGCTCTTAGGGGGCGATCTGCTAAACTTCTACAACGACAATTGGCTCAAGGGGGGGCTGGGAAACTTATCGAGTAGCAGCGTGGTCACCTTGTTGTATAAAAAAGGGGGAAAATAAGATATCAGGAATTATATGCCCATCTCGCTTCTAACCCTTCCCTATAAGATCCTAGCCAAAACTCTTGCCTTTCGAATCCTAGACCTGACATACAAATGCTTTCATATAGACCAAACATGCTTCATCCCTAGGAGATATATCCTAGACAACGTACTGACCCTCAACGAAGCGGCCAACAAAGTCAAAGAAAAAAGGATAAACACAACAATTTTTTTTTTCGGTTAAAAAAGGGCCTACAACCAGGTCAACTGGGCTTTCCTCAACGCAAGCATGGAAAAGATGGGAGTGCGCCCGAATTTAAGGAAGTGGGTGCGCATTCTGTATAACGACGCCGTAGGATGCGTCCAAGTCCATGGCTTGCTATCCGACTGCTATCTCGATCAGCTCGCCAACGGGACCCGTTAGCCCCCCCAATCTTCCTTTTCGTGATGGCAGCAATAGCCTCATTCATACGCACAAATCTCCATACACAGGCTACCAGAGGTCAATGTAGGAACAAGCCACCACCTACAATTCCCAACAGTAATAATGTTTGTTGACGATCTCACGGTTCTCACAAGAGCTTCAGACTCATCGTTCAGCGCGTTAGTAAGAGCAATGGAAGCGTTTAGACTGGCATCAGAAATGAAGATTAACTAGAAGAAATCAATCGGCTGGTGGCAATCGGAGAAGGAAGTTCCCCAGATTCAACGCCTCAAGGCGGGCATGACATGGGAGACACCTGAGACCCCTACGCGGTATCTAGGCATCCTGTTGACAAAAGACGGCTTTGACCCTCAGATGGCCCAAAATATACTCGTCAAACAAATTAACAAACTGGGTAGATGGGGCAGCACATTCACATCATTGTTGGGTTGAGCTCTAGCCATTAACACATCTATTTTTTCAATGATGTGGTATATGGCGTCAATCTGGACAGTTCCGAACCATACAATCAAGGAACTTAACTGCAAAGCAAGAGCGTACTTGTGGTCGGGAGACCTCGACAAAGAGAACTGTATACCAAAGATAGCCTGGCATTAAATCACAAGGAATCCGGCCAGAGGAGGTCTTGGTATCATAGACCCCAAATAGGAAACCAAAGCCCTACAAGTTAAATGGATAGTCAAACTATTGACTAAGCCTGGTACAACATGGAATAAACTGGCCTTGGATAGCATAAGGGGCCTAGCACCGACAGCCTCAACAGCAAACATGTCCGGTCTGTTCTGGGTAATGACCAAGGAATGGAGCCCAAGTACAGGGCGCAGAAATCTACGAAGAGGAAGCGGTCCAAACAAAGCCTGTCCCCCCACACCATATCGGACTGCATTGCTACCGATATGGCGGGAAATCATGCCGAAGAAGGAGGGTAGACCCAAATCCAAGGACAAAATATTGAGGCAACCCCTGTTTGGTAATCCGTAGGTGAAAGACGAAATTGATCACCATATATCCCTTAACCTTAGAGGAAGGAGATGGCTATCGTGGATCAAACACGAAGTTTGGAAAGTGAGTCATCTCTTGAACAAGGAGAAAAAGGACTGGGTGACAGAACAGGAACTTGCCTCCCAGATCAAAGGATGTCACAAATGAGACGAGAATCTACAATCCATTATTAACATACTTGCGGCGCATTTATGCGCTGCGCCATGCGCTGTGCGTGCGCCGTGCGTCTGGCAGGTGTGCGCGCACCTGCATCCGCAATGCGCACATGCCAGGTGCGCATGCGCTGGTGCACATGCATCTGCGGCCCGTTCGCAGGGGTGGTGTGCCAGATGCGCCACATAGTTTTTATATTTATTTTTTTTAGGCCTCCCCCTGCTACATCGCCTAGGCACAGAGAGAGAGAGAGAGAGAGAGAGAGAGAGAGAGAGAGAGAGAGAGAGAGAGAGAGAGAGAGAGAGAGAGAGAGAGAGAGAGAGA